CATTTCTTCTTCACAACCTAAGAAGAGGAGGAATAAATCATATCTCCAATTTATAGTTGGGGAAACTGAGGTCTCAAGGATTAAGAAACTTGACCTAGGATGCAGGTAGTAATGTTTGGACAGAGAATGTTCAGAGACTTATCAGTTCCCTCCATAACAACAATACAAGTAGAGCCGTATTAGAATGAATGAATGAATGAATGAATTATATATATATAATCTCCAAGGAAGGAGGGAAAAAGCAAATATGCCTATTCCTCTAGATACTATATTCTAAAGTGACTCAACTTGGGGGGTAGTTTTCACTCATCTTTTCAGTGTAAATATAATGGACTAAGAATATTACTCATAACTCAAATATAAAAGGGTTTTGTGGATAATTGGGTTGTGGTCTAGCAAATAGGCTTCCCATTCTAACTGAAGCCTCCAGCCAGTATGTGGTCCATTTTAGCATCCTTCACGATTAAACTGACTTAACAGCATCTTAAAAGACCCCAAATAATAATTCAAAAACTCTCCACATGTGGTATGAAAAGATTAGACAAGTCTTAAGCAGGCAGGAGCTTAAATCTGGCTGATAACACAGTGGAGAAATTATACACCATAAAGGCAGGGGAAAGAAGCAAGGGTTTAGCAAAAGGAAGATATAATCAGGGGACATAAACCTTCCTATAAATCAAGCTTTTCTATTCTGGGTGATTATTTCATAAACTGGATCTTGGGCTGTTGATCTCTTTAAATGATTACTACAAAATGTATGCACTTTTAGAAACAGTTGCTGGCTGATTTATATTTCAGACATATTTTCCATTAGTGTTTATTCCTTGAGAATATGGTTTTTATAATAGAGTTGATATTTTCAAATATTATGAAAAACTTGAAATTCAATTTGTATAAAAGCTATGTAATTTTAGTGTACAATTACTACATCATATTTGGAAAAACAGTGATAAAAGGAGCAACTAAACACATACCCAGATGAGACACATTTTCAAAAGATAAGATCATTTTGTCAGGGAAAGAGATAAAGATAGAAATGTCCCCTTCCCCCCACCCCTTGCCTCTAAATTCTGAAATTCCAGCCAAATAATAAAATCAGTCTTTGAACTTCCTATAAAAACAAAGAACAGTAGGCTTAGTTGGGGGGGGGAGGGGAAGAAAGGGGGAAGCAAGATGAAGGGAGAAAGTGAAGGGAAGGTGAAGAGAGGAAAGGAGAGGGGAGGAAATGAAGCACAGGATCTCTAGGATGTTCCATCTTCCTCAGAAATTGGTATTCTATTGAGGAGGCTTGAAGAAGATGAAGTGTTCCTTATCCTAGACATATTTTAAATTGCCAAAATGGCATTTTGTGTTAACAACAGAAGATAAAATACACATGCAGTACCTATTAGTCATGCTAACATAATTTATTTATCCTAATGTCTGTAATAAAGACAGCAAGTGAGTTACACAATATTCTTAATCTAAATGAATTGAAGGAGTTGGCTAACTGTTTTGCACATCTAAAGGATATTCTGAATGTACTGTTTATCTAGGCTGATTTATTTTTATCTACCTATCTACCAAGTAAGAGGTGAATTATCCAATGTAATTCTCAACAGAACAGAATCAGGTCACCATCCAAGTAAACAATGGCTTGCAAAGGAAAGAATTCTTACTCCATACAGTGGTAAGAACAGAAGTGATTTAATAAAACAGTGCTATTACTAAAGGCTGAAGTATGGTTAGAATTCTAAGGCCATTATCACTGCCCTTAATGAAAAAGAAAATTCAAAGCTCCTTCATGTTACTAAAGCAGAAAAATTCTACATTTCATTTTTTGGGGAAAAGATAACTTATATGAGACAGCAGTACTAAGAAGCAGTGTGCTTTATTCAGTCAGGCATTTAGTTTTATGATCATTTATGCTAATTTCTAAGCAAAGTAAATGCTTACAGAGACCAGCACCCAGTGAGGTCCTCCGCACAAATTCTCAGACTACTCTCTGAATGAGGAGGAATGGAAGACATACAAAGGTCTTTGAAATACACTTATTTGAGGAGGCAGACACAATGTGATTGAGGCACACAAAAATAACTAGACACTATGCCTCAGCCATCACAGGTAATGGGCCCACATGTACATCCATGATTAAGATGGTAATATTTCACTTAACAACTTGTTACAAGTTCCCTTACTCTACTTGTTTTATTATTGTTAAACATTTAGAGTATTTGCTTCCTCTAGAAGCTCTTGAGATCTGTAAGTGCTATTATTTCATTACACACATGTGCTTTTCTAACGTGCCTCAGATGGCAGGGAATAGTATTGGGAACATAGCAGATGTTCATTAAACATACTTCTAAATTGAATTATGGCATTGTTTTTTTTTTTAATAAGTTAAGGCCATACGCATGATACCAATAATCACTGTCTGATTTTCTTTTTATTAATGATACTAAATATGGCAGAAAATGTTATATGATGAGTAATATTTTCATGAAATGAGGTATTATTTTTAGTTGGTGTCAAATGAAAAATACTTTCTTGTCTTTTCTTTGGCTTCAAAAAGTTGGCATAAAAGAAAGTGAATTTAAAAAAGAAAAACCCTCTGGAAATTGATTTTTTAAGCTAGAGACTTAGAAACAATAGAATTGATAGAAGAAAAAATAATGATGCTCAGTCTTAGAAAACAAGGCTGACTACTTAGAGTTTTTACCAGAATGTAATCATGGCCAGTCAGCCTTGAAATGTACACTAAAACAATTCTAGGGATAACATTAAGATTAGGAAGTGAAGAATTCAGATAATTCGTAGAAATTGGATCTTTTGAAAATGAACATACTTTTAAAGTTTAAGTTCTACCACTAGAAAATTGAATGAGGTTTTCCTTTAGAGAATTTTTTCTTTGTTTAAAATTTAAATTCAATTAGCCAACATATAGTACACGATTAGTTTTGATACAATGTTCGATGATTCATCAATTGCGCATAACACCCAGTGCTCATCACATCATGTGCCCTCCTTAATGCCCATCACCTAGTTACCCTAACCCACCACCCACCTCCTTTGCCACAACCCTCAGTTTGTTTCCCGGAGTCAAGAGTCTCCCATAGTTTGTCTCTCTCTGATTTCTTCCCATTCAGTTTTCCCTCCCTTCCCCTATTGTCCTCTGCACTATTCCTTATATTCCACATATGAGTGAAACCATATGATAATTGTCTTTCTCTGATTGACTTATTTCACTTAGCATAATACCCTCCAGTTCCATCCCCTTTAGAGAATTTTTGATGAGTTTTTTAACTGTCAGTTGACATACAACATGGCATATACCATTCTTTTAAAAATATGTATTTTGATTTAATTTTGATTTAACTTTGTTAATTATAAATACCAAATATTCATAAAAGTTATTGATTCTCTCTCTATATGATCTATTAAGAGTAAGTCAATGAAGAAACTAATGACTAAAACATAGACATTGTGAAGTGGAAGTTGGCATTATTTAGTGATTTAAATCTAAACATTTAAAAACATTCTCAAGAACAGAAACTTGGAAGTAGAACCAGCCTCATTCATGGGCATAACAACCAGTGATGTTGTGCAAAGTCCTGCATGGAATAGGGCTTAATGCCCTGCTGTAGCTTCTGGGTCCTGCATGGGAGCCTGTATTTCCTAAACGTTACCTGAAATCTGTACATTACTACGTTTTTAAAGATGCTATCTGAGGTTTTATTTCCGTGAGGCAAATATTTCTAAGATTTGTACAGCTTAGGTATCTCCCCACCCCTAATAAATATTTAATTCCAATTTCTTATCATCTTTTCTTTGTAGCCTTGGCTAAGTGGTAAAAAATGTAGATTTTGCCAAATATAGAACATGATACCAGCACCCAGACTACCTACCAGAGGGTTACTGCTCTCTCTTCTTCAACATGCTGATTTAAAATACCCAAGAAGTAGGGGCACCTGGGTGGCTCAGTTGGTTAAGTGTCTGACTTCAGCTCAGGTCATAATCTCAGGGTCCTGGGATCAAGCCCAGCACAGACTCAGGGGGGTGTCTGCTTCTCCTTCTCCCTCTGCCCCTCCCCCCACTCATGCACGCACACACACACACACACACTCACACACACTCTCTCTCAAATAAATAAGATCTTTAAATAAAATAAAACACTCAAGCAGTGACATAATGCAAAGATTATTTCCTCATATTTACCAATTAAAATATTTCTAATTTCTACTTCACCTTCTTCCAAAAGCATATGAAATGATTATAAAATGAAACATAGTTTTAAATAAAATGAACAGGAATCCAAGCAGAATAGTATCATTAATAAAAAGAAAAAGGAATAGATACAACTAGGTGTCTAAATAATGTAGTTTGTTATAGGTAGTCACTTCATTTAGGCTTTAGATTATAACTTTTTAACTTTTTAACAAAATAAAGCTGGCAAACTGCTCATCAGTAATCAATTTTTTCAAATAACATTAAAGATTGTAGGGAAAAAACGCCCCAAATTGTATAAGGTAGATATCTTTCAAATGTACAGCCTCTTTACATTTCTTGAGTCGAGTTTGGCTTTTGGAATTTCCTTAAGGGTTTCCAGTGCATGTTTAAGTTCTTTAACGAGTCCCTGTATTTGGAAGTCCTAGGTGCTTGTTCTTTCGCCTTTGGTGTTCTTTATAGACAAACTTAGGAAACCCAAAAAGCGAGTGGAGGAGGATGAAACCTGATGCTGATGATAAAGGCCTGGCTGGCAGAGTAAGTCAATCACTTAGGAAGTGAACATGGAGACCGGATGGATAGATTAGACCTTTCTAGTTGTTATTTTGCCATTATGGCCTAAGTGGGGAGGCCATTTTTTTAAAAAGTTATCTTACCTTTAAAAATGCTCAAGTTAAATATGTTGCTTTCAGAAATATTCCTTCCATTTTGTCACCTTAATTTTTATGACAGGATTCAAGGATATTGCCAGCAAAAAGAAATACTTTCTAAATGTGTCCTTCTATGTTTATACTCACATTCAGGCTGAGTGGCCACTTTGATGGGTTGAGAACTCTCCCCTGGTCCCCACTCATTGTAGGCCACAACTCGGAAGGTGTACATGGCTTCTGGCTTCAGGTTTCCCACCGTAAGCTGAAGGGCCCCAGGCTGGGATGTGTTCAATGCTCGTTCCCTGGGAAGTAAAAGGTTCAGGGAAAGATTATTCTAACATCAATACTTTTAGCCAAACCTTTATTTAACGTGCCAAAGCAGTGAGGTGGACTAAGGTTTGCTTACTCATTTCATGCTGACTCTGCTGTAAATCAAGGCCTCTAAGGTTTACTATGAGAAGCACACTGGAAGGATCTACACATAAATACTGCAGGGTTTTGGGGGAGCTCAAGTTTATGCCATTCCCATGAAACTTGCAAACAAAAGTCTTTTCCCTCAACACAATTTAGAATTCAAAACTCATGACAAAGAGCTACTAAAATAAGAAGAAACATCTGGAATGTAGACAGGAAGATGCATTTTGTAAACATCCGGCTAATGACAGAAATCAAGGTTTCAATTATTCCACAAATCGGTCTTTGTCAGTATTGCCAACAAATGAATTTATGCATCTTCTCTCATTGTATGAAAGGAAAAGGCAGATGCTAAGTGTTGATGCGCATGGAGCTTGAGCTCCTGTGGTTAAGTTAAGTGCAATTAGTGAAGGAGGGTAGATTCCTTTCTACGTGAGGAGAAACTGCAACACATGTCTACTTGCCTTGTTCTTCAAGCCACATCTACGTGTATCCATTTCATTTCTCAACCAAAAGCTTCCTCAGTGGTTCCAGACCAATGAATTACTTTGCTGATCCTGGGGCAATTTGTAGTACATATTAAGATAGGGCAAGCTCTACTGATAATAGATGCTAATATATAAGAAACAATAACTCCTAAAGTATCATTTAGGAATACACATGATTTGTAGATACTCGTAGCCCCCTTGGTGTCATATAATTGACTGGCAGGTGAAGAAGGAACTTCTAAGCTACTCAATTGTTTCTTAAGTTTTCTATTGCTAGATAGTATCTCTTGCAACTTAGTGGGATTGTATGTACATTTTAATTTTGCCATTTGGTTTTATTTTGTCTGGGGAGATATTTAAAATGAAACCCAGTTTTCTGTCAGGGCAAAGCAGGTTTCCAAAGAGAAAAATAAAGACCAAGTTTTAAGGGCATTACTGGTGATTCTTGGGCATGTGTGCAATGTGAATTTGATGGATATGACAGAGACTGGCTGATTCATTCTCAAACCCATTTCTTCTTCTTCACATGCTAGACAGGATTTCCTATGAGGTCTAGATGAAACCATGTGACTCAGTCTACCCAGTGAGTTTGAGTGTACACATCATGTGCTGATTCCAGGCATGGCCTAGAAAAACTGCACACATGGTTACCTCTGTGTTCTCTTCCTTCACCCATGAGCTTGGGGTAGGCAAGCATGGCTACTTTGGGAGCCATATGTTGATAATAGACGAGTCAAAATTTTCAAGAATTCTGGAGAAGAGCTGGGAGAAGAACTGCCTGGCAATCAGGAACATCCCTTTTCTACTTTATAGAATCAAACAGTTTTGAGTCATTATGAATTTTAGGTTTTGTTTGTTACAGCAATTAGTGTTATTTTATCCAGTACTACTAATAATTAAAATATATACCCTGAGTGATTACCAGAGTCTAGGGGGAGAGAGGAAAAGGAAGTTATTCAGTGGCTACAGAGTTTCAATTGGGGTAGATGAAAAAGTTTTAGAGATAGAGAGTGGTGATAGTTCTTTGAATGTACTTTATACCATAGTATGAAGTATACCACACTTAAAAATGGTTAAAACTGTAAATATCATGTTATATATATTTACCACAATAAAAACCAGCCAAACAAATACCCTGTATGAATCTTAATATAGCCTAAGGTTTAGGTATTTCTTTAGGAGTGCTCTGTTAAGTTGCCTCAAGGCTGAACTGTGACTTACAATGGGGAGGTGGGGGGCAGGGTCTGGGTGGGATTCAACAGTAACTGAAAGTAGGTAGGGATAAGACATCAGTTAATGCTCCCACATACCACTTACCACACTGCTCTATTCTACCCACCTAAGATTATTTAGGCCAACAAATTGTTTTGTAAAAGAAAATCCTCATAATCAGATTGCATGTCTTATGGATATATGGATTTTTGCATCTTATTTATTTTTCTTTAGCAGAAGAACTTTTAGATACATTGCCTCATGGAGCCCTTTTATATAGATAGGGTGATTTTATCATCATTTTACAGATGCAAAAGTGTACTTTGGAAAAACAGCATTATTTTTTTTTTTTCCCCAAAGGACTCAGAGTTAGTGGATAGCAGAGTTAAAAATGGAACCTGGGGCTTCATCCTTTAAACACAGTATTGATATCACGCAACAATTGTGGGGAAACAATTGTGGGGCCTATTTGGATCATGGGCACTTTGGGTAGAAGACATAAGTTTCCAAAGGAGTAGAAGGGATTCTAGGCATTCGAAACCACTGTGAGATGAATCTGTCACCTGCTGTGATATCTTTTCTAGGCATATAAGCAACATAGATGTCATTGAAGGTCAGATTTGCATACCAAACTTCTTGGGTGTCTATGAGGAAAGACAACCTTCATAATTGACTTTATTCATATACTACTAAAAAACTGAGCTAAAGAGCTATGTTCTGGAACATGCTGGCATAGTCTCTTGAACAGACATCCTTCAGAGGAAAAGAGGCAAGAAAATCTGGGTATGCCCATGTAAGAATGTCCAAGATCATATAATGAAAATAGCACGCACATATAAAAGTGGATGCTGGATTTTATTATGAGGAAGAGAGTTTTACGTTCCCATAATCTCTATCAGCCTCCAAAAAGTATTCCAAACTAATAGTAGTCATTAAAAAAAGTATATTCATTGATATGAACAATTGATGCTTCCTCCATATTACATAAAGTGTGAGCAAAGCATTTTTAGAAAATACTTCTATGGCAGCAATCTGGAAAAAAATACAGTTGAAGCAAATACAGTGTGTTTTTCCATAATTACCTTCAACACAACTCCACACCTCTACTCATCACATGCTGGTACTGCCCTGGATTGACCACGCTTCTTCAGTGTAGGCTCTTAGTGGCTTAAAACAATGATTTAATCTAAACTTTATTTCAAATTTATGTGCCACTTTTCAGAAATCTGCTCATCTTATCAAAGTGAGGTTGCATCAAAATGCTTTGGACCCTGTGAAGTGGATTCAGCATTCTTAAGTCTGAGATTGTTGTTTTGATTTTCTTATTAATTTATCTGAGCCTGATTCCTCAGGTGCTGATTGGTGCCATGAAAATGTTTACCTCATCGAGTTTCTTAAAAACTAAAAGAGATGCTGTATGTAAACCACATGAGGCAGGAGGCAGGTTGCCTGGGAGTCAACATGGAGTCTCATACACGTGGTAGTTACTGCTGTTATTTTTATTATTATAACAAAATACCACCATGACCTCATAAGAAATAAGCACTCTTGAGTCCAAGAAGAGGACATTTCCACAAAGTGTTTAGAACGAGGAATTTGAGGAGAGAAATTAATAAGAGGTATAGTCATAAAGAAAAAAATACATAAATAGATTTCATTGAGCTCTATGGGCCTGCTCCCCCTTTACTCCCCTCAAACAAAATAAAACAAAACACTTTTTTTATATTTAATTTTATATTAATCTTGTTTTCCAGGACAAGTTAAATTTTAAAAGTGGTCATAACTAGAGGTATTGAATAAGTTCTGATAATGAAAATAGTAATATCTTTCAAAGGTGGAGGCTTCACTGACAGCAAATTGAGAAGGAACGGTGTTCCTTGCATTCCACAGCATAGCTGAACAGCCCTGTGAAATGTGATGTCCACACAGCTAGTGCCTGGGCTTTGTTGCCAGGCTGCTCTGGTGCTTCCTCGGGTCCTACGAGGGGGGTCTTCAAACTGCTAAAGGCATACAAACGCATTCTGGGAAATTGGCATTTCCTGCCTGTCATCCTTCACAGATTTGTTCAGTTCAAGCCCCAAAGATTGACAGGGGGCTTTTGATCATTCCTTCCATGCTTTAGTAGTTGCAAAATTAAACACAAACCACTTCCCAACAAGTAAGTAAAACCTGAGTTTGGAAGGGCAATTTATTATTCTGTTTCTCTGGTCTCCCAATAAGCCAAAGGCAGCCACCTGAAGTGGTTACACTCTCCAGAGCCTCCACTTGGACCAGCTGGTAATTAGGATTTTCCCTCTGTGCACTCTGGTCGATTCTCTTCTGTAAATGGGCAGATAAACACACTAGGTGCTGAAGAACAGAGACCAGTTGCTGTTAGGAATTTGCCTAATTATTCTGTTGGGGTGTTCTGCCTGTCACTGCACCAACTACCCCTAGAAAAGCATCAGGGGCCAAGACCAGCTGTCTCTGGCTGAAGTTCTCTCCTATGACTCTGAAGACATAATTGCTTTCCAATTCACAGAGCTCAGAGTAATGGTCTGTGGCATCAGATTATATATATATATATATATTTTTTTTAAGATTTTATTTATTTATTTGACACAGAGAGAGAGATAGCGAGAGCAGGAACACAAGCAGGGGGAGAGGGAGACGCAGGCTTCCTGCCAAGTAGGGAGCCCGACGCGGGGTTCAATCCCAGGACCCTGGGATTATGACCTGAGCCGAAGGCAGACACTTAACGACTGAGCCACCCAGGCACCCCGTGTGGCATCAGATATATTGTCAGACAAAGCTTCATGACCTCACTTCTGTTACCTTGACTCTGAGTTGGTAGTGTGGGGCTCGGGCAGGTTCAAGATTAGTTGGCTGAAGGAAAAGGAACAAGGCACCTGTGCTTTCTAGAATCCATTCACTATAACTTCATCCATTGAAAATTCACAAAGAATATAAATATAAAAAGTCTGTCTCCTCCTGCTGGCTGAAAATAACTGTAGGCAACTTGCCTTCTTTGACCTCTACATGGAGACCAAGAAGAGTTCACAAATAGGAGAAATTTCTTTCTTGTAAACTCTAGTTTTAGGTGCTTTAGGTCACCTGGTAGAGGTTTCTTAGACAATAACAGCTATGTTTTAAAAGCATACTCTTGGGGCGCCTGGATGGCTCATTCAGTTAAGCGTCTGACTCTGGGT